GGACTACTGTTTCATTGGAACACAGCCATGGTCATGTGTCTCTGTATTGTCTATGGGGGCTTTGGTGTTCTCATGGTATTGCTGAATAATTATGACAGAGGCCATGGGAGGCCTTTTGGCCCATAAAGTCTAAAATATTTTTAGACCATCTATCCTTTCATGGAAAAAGTTTGCTGATCCCTGCTGTAGACCCATCATCTTTAGTCTTCTTGACCATGACCTACAATAAACACATTTGCCAAAAGACCTGCTATCTACACACACACACACACACACACACACACACACACACACACACACACGTGTATATGGATTATATACACAATAAAATTTGCAAAACAATATTTTTGCTAAATGCAATGCCCTCTGATAGTTTCTAAACTATTTCTTAAAGCAGTTCATGATATCATATTAATCTCATGACCCCTCCCAGAGGAATCTCAATCCATCTTTGAAAAAAACTCTAGAAAAATCAAGCAACTGGCCATTTACAACACATGTCCTGTTCTCCCACCTCTTTTTTTKKGGGGGGGTGGATGGTTCTGGCTTTGAACTTGTGATCTTCCTGCCTCAGCCTCCTGAGTTGCTGGGATTTCAGGCATGCACCACCATACCCATCCCACCTTCTTTCTTTTTCTTTTTCTTTTTTTGGTTCAGGTATTGAACTGGGGCTTAACAACTGAGTCACGACCCCAGCCCTTTTTTATATTTTATTTAGAAACAGGATCTTGCTGAGTTACTTAGGGCCTCTCTAAGTTGTTGAGGCTGGCTTTGAACTCATGATCCTCCTGCCTCAGCCTCCCTCTCCTGCACCCAGCAGCCCACCTCCTTTCTTGACATCACTCTATCAGGCAGGGCCTCGTGTGTGTATGAATGCTCTCCGTTCCTTAGGCATTCACTTAACTTCCATTTTTTTCATGAAATCTTCTTTATACCCCTAGTCTAACTTTTTCCTTTTCTTATCTCCCATAGCATACTTTTCTATTGTGGCACTTCAAAGTTTCTGCTTTGTAGACCAGTCATCTTTGCATCTTTCTTATTATTCTTAAGGGTGTGGTCTTCACTTTGTATTCTCCACACTATCCAATACAGTACCTCATATGCTGGAAACACTAAATAAATGTCTATTAAGTTGAAATAAGCAAATATTTACTACTAAGATTTTAACATAATTTGCACATGTAATATTTTAATCCCCTTAACTGAAGAGATTATAAAGTACATGATATTTTTTAAGCACTCAATAAATGTTTATGAAGACAGAGAGGAAAAGATAACCTGGTTATCCTTACCAGTTTTCACTCCAGTTGCTAGGTTTGTGCTATTATACCCACCAATGATCAGAACTATTGTATACAATAATTTGTAATTTTTGAGTTTTTGAGTTATGGTCTCTGGTATAAGTACTCAGAACACCAAGGAGGAAGGAACTTGTTCTATTTCTTAGGCCTTAACTGAAAAAGGTCTTAGCAACTTCAGCTGTCTGAAGCAGAGCTGCCATCTGCACATTCTGAGCTCAGACAGTGGTACTTGGAGAGCTTTATGTGGTCTCTTTTTTGTCCAAGGAAACAAGGAGGCATGCAGTCTCTCCTGGACTGTTAATGGTAATGCTGCTAAGGTCTAATTGATTTTGGTTAGAAAATATCCCATGAGTTCCTTCATGAAGTCTAGTATGGCTGGAAACACTATCATTCTGACTGCTTAAAGTGGTTTTAAGCTGACTACTTCCCTAACCCTTCCCTCATGTGAAACAAAAGCTTCAAGTCCCTGGCTAAAAACCTCTCTTTGTTTTAGCACAACCCAAGAAGATTTATTCTCAGGAATTCAAGTATGGTTTGATAACAGAAAATTGATCTTATTTCATTACACTCACATAATAAAAGGAAAAAATATATTAATATGTCACTAAATCAAACAAGGCACATGATAAACCAACAGCTATTTCTAATAAGGTTCTCAGTAAAAAAGGAATAGAAAAGCTAAGCTGCATGAATCTGATATTGTTCCAATTTGAAATCAATGATTAAAATAGATGGCAAAATACAAAATCCATTTTCATTTAAATTATGAACTATCACGGTTAGTATTTAATATTATTTTCAAGGTGATAGCTATATAACAAGAATATAAAATAAAAGATATAAAAATTTAAAAATACAAAAAAAGTTTTGGTCATAGATTATATGGCTGTATACCTTGAAAAAAAATCCAAGATAAAGTGGAATTTTTGGGAAATAAACTACTATAATAACAATGTACTAACTGGGGAAAAACATATTAGTAATTTATTAATGTTTTCTCTTTACATAAGCACTAAACGAATTGGAAAGGAAAATGAAGATAGAAACATCAAAAATCAAAGTTATTGAAAAGCTCTTTAGGACATGTAATCCAGTTTCTTCAGTGAATATTTTAGAAGGAGAAAACTTATAATGGAGAAATGCAAATTGAGAAAGACTTAAACAGACATATTAACCACTTACACAGTAAGATCTTTTGGTTTCTAATAGGAACAAACTTTTGGAGGTTAGAAGAGAAAGAAAATGGGAAAAAATAAGAAATTACATTTGCAGTTCCATTTCTGTACTCTGTTTTGAAAACAGAAATTTGCAAGAGATAGTTTTGCAATCCTAGCAACAAGAGAAGGCCAGGAAATCTACAGAAACTCATCAGAGATCTAACATCACAAGGCAATAAATTCTAAAAAGTGAGAAGCCATTTCACAAAAACCATCTCACCTTTGGCAGAGCACAGGAGAACAAGGAGGCCACCATAACAAGAAGACAATAAGAAATCGAGTAAGAATGTGTAAAGGTCAAGTGTAGCCAATTACACTAGCTTAAATCACTTGAAGTCCCAGAAATGAGGGAAACATTTTCAAGTTCATTCCCACCGACCTCCACTGAGTGTTCTCAATACAGATCAGGAACAGGAAGGGAGACTTGTTGGTGCAAGCATTAGGCAGTAGGAGATGACCAGCTGGTGCTGGAAGACAAACATCAAGCCTGACTACTTCCCCAACCCTTTTCTCATGTGAAACAAAAGCTTCAAGTCCCTGGCTGTAAACCTCTCATCCCAAGAGACCAGGCTTCTGGATGAAGGGCAGAAAAAACTATCTGTCCCTAGAGGGAAGGCTAGGAAAACTTCTTGGGCTCAGAATCCTACCGCAATACTAAGCAGAAGTTGCTGCCAGTGCAGAAAGTTCAAGAGGCCGGTGACAGAGCACTATTTTGTGTTATAGTGATGCAGTCACTGCTGTAATTTGAGGATGAAACGGGAATGTTTAAAAAATCTCTGCAGCATGCAGTCCCCAGTTTTATTATCCAGTAAAATATCCCACTTCTGGAGGAATTTTAAGCCTGTAGTTCGATAATGTTTATAACAGAAACAATAAAACCCAAACCCAACTCAGCTCCTGACTAGATTAACTTAACCTTCCACACTAATACCCCAAAAGAAAAGGTATGCCCATGTCTGGGCATAAGTACTCTTTACCTGCATATGTATCTACTGTTCTTATCCACAAACTGTCCAGCATTTAATAAAAAATTATGAGAAGCACAAAAAGCAAGAAAAAACAAATGATTATCAAGAGATAAAACAATCAACAGAACCAGAGTGAGTCAGAGATGAAATATATACTGGAACTATCAGAGACAGTGTGTAAAATAATCATGTTTAATATGTTAAATAATACAATGGAAAAGAAAAACAACATATACAAATATATGGCTATTTTTTAGYAGAGAGATTAAAACTATTTGAAAAAATTAAAGAGAAATTCTAGAAATAAAACAATATCACAGATGATATTGTTCAATAGACCTATCAGCACATTGAATACAATAAGAATCAGTGAATTTAAAAAYATACCAGTGGAGATTACCTAAAATGAAATCCCCCCACCAAAAAAAAAAAAATCAGATCAGTGCACACAAGAGTTCCAATGTAATTTCTATGGTCACAAATTATATGACATTTGTGTAACAGGAGTCTGAGAAGGAAAAGAGAGAAAGAATATGAAGGAATATTTGAAAATACAATGGCTGAACATTTTCTAAAATTAATAAATGACAACTTAAGAATTCAGGAGAGTATCAAGCAGGGTTAAGCGTGCACGTGCACACACACACATGGTGGGGGGGGGCACTAGAGAAGAGTAGAGTTACCTTAGATTAGGTGGAGGGAAGTGAGGGAGGAGAGAGGAAGGATGGTGAGGATAGGAAGGATAGTAGACTGAAACAGACATTATTGCTTTATGTATGCATGTGACTGCATGACCAATGTGATTCTACAACATGTACACTCAGAAAAAATGAGAAATATATCACATGATGTATCATATAACCAAATGCATAAATGCAATCTGCTGTCATGTATAACCAATTAAAGTTTTTTAATTACATGTTGAAATAAAAAATAAAAACAGACATAGAAGGGAAGCTAGAGCAGTACTTTATACAGAATAAAGATAAGGTTTATATCATACTTACTGGAAAATATGCAAGCCAGAAGACAATGGAATGACATCTTTAAAGTACTAAAAAGAGAAAAATTTCTTACACAAATTTAAGTGTGATAATGATACTGACATTATGTGTTTTTTCTGAAGAGCCCTTATATTTAAAGATCCACATTAATATATTCATGGACAGCATAATAAGGCATGGGGATTGCTTTGCAATAATCAGGGAGGTGGGCTCCCTTTGTGGATGAGGACAGAGATAAAGCAAGACTGACCATGAGTTGATGATAGTTGAAACTGRGTAATAGGCACATAGGAATTTATTTTTTTAATTCCATAATAGAAAAAAATTTAAAGAGAAATGTTTAAAAAGAACATAGTGGATATCATAGCATATATCGTGCTGTCTGGTTGTATTTCCCCTCTAATTAATTCTTCCTCCAGACTTTGATTCACAGAAGGTTCACAGGTCTCCAAACAGGGCTCACAGAGCTGCAGGCCCCACCCCCAGTTACCTCAACCCAACCAAACCTACCAGTGCCAAAGCTCTCCTCTCCACACAGAGAGCACCGTCCCGAGTCCATCAGATTTGAGAAGAATCTCCATCCAGCTGGGGTCTCATAGACAGGGATCTTCATTGATTTGGCCACTCTGAAAAATGAAATTTGAAATTCAATTCACACACCTCATTTTCTTTCTTTTCTCAGCACGGTAGGTAGGCTTTAAGATCTACTGATTCCATAACTAGATTTCAGAACAGCTTGGTCAGCGTTGACAGTTTTCAGGATGTCAAGCTATAATTTAGAAAATGATAAATAGCTTATTCCAATCATTCTCAATGTTGTTTTCTCCACAATACAAAATAGGTTAAGATATATTATATGACATTATCTACTAAAGATAAATGTACCCATGTCCTATGAAGTAGGAATTACCAATGGTGTATAGTGGATGCTGTGGTGGAGTGCTCAGACTCTCTGCCAACACACATGCACACGCGCGCACACACACACACACACACAATCTCTCTCTTTCAGCTCTCTCCACATTTTAGTGCTGAACTACTCATTACACCAGCACCTAGGAATGTTGATAGCTGACAGCTCACAGATGTGGCCCCCAATCTCTGCCAAAGAGTGAATGTCTCTTCCAAGGTCATTTTCCCATCCCTGTGTCAATGAGGAATGTTCAAAGGCCTTGCCTCCTTGCCCAACTTGATACAACTCTGTAGGGCCATTTTGGCTCCAGAGCTCCCCAGAAATCCTCTGAACACTTAGTTGCGACTTCCTCACTGTCCTATAGGTGYTTGCTATAGTTAGGATCTGAAATGTTCCCAGAGGCCCATGTGGTAAAGATTGGTCCTTGATGTGGTGCTATTGTAAGGTGTTGATACCTTAAAGAGGTGGAGGCATGTCCTGCAAAAAGATTGTGAGATGCTGGCCTCTTTCTTTTTCAATTCCTGGCCACCATGAGGTAGGCACCATGCATTCCCATCATGATATACTGACTCTCCACAGGCCCAAAAGGCAACAGGTACTAACCAAACATGAACTGAAAACTGTAAAGCCAAAATAAACCTTTCCTTTTTTTAAGTTGATTATCTCAAACATTCTGTTACAGTAACAGCTGATGAACCGTGTTGATGTTGAAGGCAACTTTAATCTCGAAGGAAGAAAGGAATAAATTTCCTGCAAGCAAATTTCTCTCAGAGCTGTTTCCTAGGGAACCCAGTATGTCATGTTACTTGATATTTTATAAGAATCATCATCAAAAGTGATTTATGATAACTGAAACAGACCAAATAAAGGACAACTAATTTGTGATATATAATGTAATCATCTAAATTTCATTGGGAAAAAACTTTGCTTCATGGAACAACTTGAATCTCACAAACATGGAATAAAAAAAGTCAATAACATCATGATAAAATTCATAAACAGCCAAAAACCAATCTATGCTGTCAAAATTCATGCTCAGAGACTCTGAGCAGTCAAGTATTTTGCTGAAGGTCCCACAGAGGTAAGAGGCTATGCTAGAACTTGGACCAAAGCCTGTTTAATTTCTGCTCAGTTTACATCAACCATGTTCTCTCTCCAAATGTCTTAGTGTTTCAGGAGGGAGATGAATCTCAAAGCATGCTATGGAATGAGGTGGTATATCACAGGCATTGGTCTGAAGAGTTTTATCTTCCCAATGTGTGAGCAACTTAAAGAGAAAAAAACACCAAATGCCTACCAACTGCAAGGCTTCATTCTTGGACGGCTATGAGGGCAGAATGCGTCAGGGAAGGAAATCAGTGAGAGTCTTGGTGCAGAAGAGGAGAAAAGCGGCACATAGGATAAAGGGCACAACCTAAGAACAATTCCTTTAAGTTTAGTTTGTGGCCAGACAGAGGGAAAAAAGTACCTAGAAACCTTTGCTCCAGGAAACTCCCTTCCACAAACCCCAAATACAAGGAAAGTGCTCAAGATTTAAAAATCGTGTGCTAAACCTCTTTCAAGTTTGTTTTGAAAAGAAGAACCTTTTAGTGAGTTAGGTGTTACTTCAAAGATTCCATCTTCTCTCTTTTTCAATGGTTTAAGAAAAGCACAGAATCATGCTTACATCCTGGTGGGACCAATGAAAGAAACCGTCCCCAGACTATAGAGCAAAGGTTAATTTTCAGAGTCCTTAATTTTACAATCAGAAGCTCAAGGAAAGAGGAATAAATCCCACAGAATCCTTCTAGGGACAGTGCATAGAAAAACCTGGGTCCAAATTATCTCAGCAAATGTGGATACACATGATTACCAAAAAGAATGTCCAATGTGGGGGCAGAGGTGAGGGTGAAAGAGAGGGTAGAGGGTGTGGGGACATATATTCTCTGACCAAAATATTCTTGTAGGTTCAGAGCCAAGTTGGCAAGACTGAAGGGAGGGGAAAGGATTTCCCCAGTTCCCACCCTTCCTAATTAATCACTGTTGGGTGGTCATTAGGCGCAAGCTGGACTGGAGTTTTAAGGGCATACTTTTATAACTCTGAACCTCAGTTGCCTCTTTGCAGTCTAAGATAACATGGGTAATGAAATTCCAGGATCCCGGGTATGTGTTCATTTGTGTCCTAGGGTCAGAAAGGAATTTCTCTCCCTCCCTCTTCTCCAGAATTTGGGAATCATCCCAAACACAGCATTCGGCAGATACCATGCATAGACTGGTTTCTACAGGAAGTCCCTGGAGCCTCTAAAATCCTCCAATAGAAAAGCTCAAAATGAAGCTGCTCCTGCTGAGGGTCTGAACCCCTCTCTGTGTGTGCTAGAGTCAAACATGGGGACTCRTTTCCCAGGAAAAGTCAGGGGATGAAGAAAAAAGAAAAATAATCTGGTCCACAATTTTCCTACAAGGGAAAATGAGCCCTGATAACCAAAAGAACATGCTGGAAGTGAGCTCCTCAGTCTGGCTTTCAAAACCTCCAAAAATGTGATTTTAGGATGGACCCAGTCTCAACCTCACTTTCTCCCACACTAACTGCTGTGTTCAATGCTCCTAACAAACTGAATTTCGCATTTTGTTGTTGTTATATACTGCTTAGTCCTTCTTTATGTCATTAATTTCACCCAAGTTAACCCTCCTCTCCCAATCTCTGTCAAAACCTATCTTAAATGCCCTGTCATCTATAAAGCCTGTCTTGGTCCACTTTGTGGTGCTATAATAGAATACCTGAGACCRGGTAATTTATGAAGAACAGAAATTTACTCTTACTCTTCTGGAGGCTGAGAAGTCAAAGATCAAGGTAGCACCCATATTTGGTTTGTGAGAGTCTTCTTGTGTGTCCTCACAGGGAAGAAGACGGGGAGACAAGCTAGCCAAACACAGCATGAAGCCTTAATTCCAGTAATGAGGAAGGAGACTTCCTGGTCTGATCACCTTTTAAAGACCCACCACTTCATCCTATCACATTGGCAACACTTGAGTTTCGGAGGGCATTAACTCTCAACATGAATTTTGAAAGACACAAAAACATCCAAACCATCACAGAGCCTGGGGCAAAGCCTTCCAGGTGGTCAACATCTCACCCCCTCTCATCTCCTCACACAGCCCAACTGCTTCCCACCCTCCCTTGCTGTGGTCATGTGACTGAGTTCTAGCCAATAGAACTTCCCTTTCAGATCTGGCTATAAAAATTTCCCATCTTCCAGGGGGAGGGAAGAATAGAAGTTTACTGAATTAGACAAAGGGAATGAAAGGAAGGAAATGGGATAAGAATGGGAAAAACAGAAGAATGAATTGGACACAACTTTCCTATGTTCATCTAGGAATACAGAACCAGTGTAACTCTGCATCASGTACAACCACAAGAATGGGAAGTTGTACTCCATGTATATATGGTATGTCAAGATTCATTCTGCTGTCATGTGTAACTAAAAAGAACAAATTTAAATTTTTTTAAAAAGCCAAACTTCCAAGCCTTTCTTTCTCCTTCTGCTAGCTCAACGTGGACAAATCCGTCAGTCTTAGAAGACTGGTGTTGAAGGTGGCTGGCCCACARATGAAAAGATCTGGATATCTTCTGAAGCACCATTTGAGACAGAAAGTAGGGGGCTAAGTGTTCCTATTTTATGATTAAGTAGTTTCCTTAAAAATATAATTTGTTCCTGTATGTCTCATTTAAATTGTGCATTTTGAGAAAGGAGAATTTCTCCAGGTATTATTAATTCATGAGGCTATTAGGTTGAGACAAAGATTTATTTCGGAAATGAAGAACTTAGAGAACGAGGGCAGTGCCAAAATGAGAATCAAATATTTGAGAAGCAGGACACTTTATTTTTATTTTAATAACCAGCTGAAGATCACCCTATTCTTGTGTGAACAAACAGGATGATAGACACAAAAACAGCCTAAGAGTACCCTGAAAGTTCACTGAGTGTGGGGATGCTGACATCTCCATCTTTGTGCCTCCAGTGACCTGCACAATGCAAGCCCATGGTAGGAATTCAAATATTTATTTACCCAAAGCACAGTATTATTTTTGTTTTTTGTTTGTTTGTTTTTGTGGTGCTAGGAATTGAACCCAGGGCCTTGTGCAAGCAAGACAAATACTCTTACCAACTGAGCTAYATCCTCAGCCCCAAAGCACAATCTCATTATGTGTGATGATAGCATTTCATACTAATACATATTAATGACTGAATTTGCAAGAATAATCAAATGAACACTGACTGATCACAACAAGTGCATGAGATGCATATCCTGCTACTCTTGGAATTCCACTTCAAGAAAGCCGTGATAGATTTAAAGAGGACAAGACCCAAGTCCCTCTCCCTTTGTTCTATCTAAAAATGTCCCTTTCTTAAGCATCAAGATGGGGCCATGATACTATTTTCTACGCAGAGAATTTTCAGTCCCCTTTTAAAGCCCTCATCTACATAAGTCTAGGAGAAGATATTTGCCAATTTTGTATGGCCTTTACATTTTTTAAATTTCTACAAATCATTTTAAAAGACAAACTTTTGAAAAGCACTTTATACAATTAGTGAATGAATAGAAATGCTCAACATCATTAAAGGTCTGGAAATTGCACGTTAAAATCACAGTGAGAGCCCGGTACAGTGGTACACGCCTATAATCCCAGTGGCTCGGGAGGCTGAGACAGGAGAATCCCGAGTTCAGAGCCAG